TCGTTCAGACTGTCATAAAAAAATCGGATATGAGTCAGATGGGTCAAAAAAATTGGATTTGGGTCGGATTTGCCTGTAGTGTGAATGTAGCCTATGCAGCAAGCCCAGACCCTTGTACGAAGCAAAGTGAAGGACAGGGTCTGGTTTTAACCAAGCTAACCTCTAGAATATATTTTCAAATACCTACTGGTCTTAAAGAGAATTCACCATTTGTTCTCTTTGTCAATAAGTTAACAAAGAACACCCTCCCACCACCACCCCACCCCACCGCAAAATAAACCCCCCAAACATTAAAAAACAGGTCTTCATTGACATGTATAAATATTTGAGATGATTTGTCTATTTTTTTTTTTTGTTTGCGCTTTTGTGTTTGTCATTATAAACAGGTTTTATGGGACCTTTCCAGCTCCTTCAGAATAAGCACTTTCTTGGCCCAACAGGGACTCTCGAGTGATGCAAGGGTGATGTGATTGGGCCATGCATAAACCATGTTGATTGAGGGCCATGTTGATTAGTAATAAGCACGTTGAAGGCTCCTCCAGAACCCACACTGTGAGCAAGAAACGTTCTGTATTCTTGATGTGCTCAGTTGCCTGGTAAACATTAACTGAAATGTAAAACTTTTGATCAGAAAAAGAATAAGATAGTGGTTAGCAGAGGTGCAAAGAGGAAAAATATCCAAGGATCTTGGGCCCCAGGCTGTGTGGACAGAGAAGTCCTTATAAGACTGCTTGAATGCAGCCCATGCTTTGAGGAGAAAACAGCATGTCAGATAACTTTAGGCAGTAACACTGATTCGAAAGTATGACAGCCAATACTGACCTGTGTTGGACATAAGGTTAGACAAAATTGTATCATCAGAAAAATGGTCAACACTTGATATTTGCCACTTTGCAATTTCTACAGTTAGTGCCGCCTGATGATGAATTTTTGGGTGCGATGCACTCTCACTATCAGACACGCATGTGATGTACTGCATTACTAAAGATATTCTAGGGCGGCTGTGGCAGAGTGGTTAGGGGAGTCGTCCTGGAACCTGAAGGTCACTGGTTTGATCCCCCGTCCAGCTGCCTCAATTGTTGTGTTCTTGGGCAAGACACTTCACCCCTAATGCCTCTGATGTGTGCCCCGTCAGTGTGTGAATCTTGAAGACCTTTCCTGCCCACAGCCATCAGCATCTACAATAAGTTTTTAGTTAAATGAGTTACGACAACACCAAATTTCCCTCTGGGATCAATAAAGTATTTTTGAATTTGAATTGAATTTGAATGAATGTGATTGGCACTGATTAGTCTCCATCGATGATTGTATATATATTAGCTTTGTAGAGACTTAATAGAGTGCTGTGTGAATGGGTAAATGAGGACACAGATTGTAGTGTGAAGTGCTTTGAGTATCCTGGTTGGGTAGAAAGGCTCTATACAAGTACAGACCATTTACCATATTCTGTCACTCATTGTGGAAAAGGTGGGTTTCAATTCACACAGCTTACTAATTTAACCTGTCAAAATAAAGTTAGCTTGACTAATGATTTATAAATACTGTATAATTTTAGAACAAAGGGGAACTAAATTAGAGTGAAAAACATGCAAGTGCAATTGTTATTTAATAATTGTCAAATCAATCATTATCTGCCTCAATAAATTGTGCATATTTTTTTTTTACTATCAGCCCTATTCTAGTTAGAATACTAGAAGCACTCGGAGAGTGCAAACCTCTGCCAAGACCAATTTCCCCCATCCTGTAAGAGTTAATGCGCAAAAGCAGAGATGGAAACATATTTGCTGAATAAGTTCTGACGTAGTGAACATTTAAGCAGGCAGTATGCACGGGATTTCTTCTCGGTGGAGTCCGATGTGAAAAAATAAAGTCACACTCGTCACCCGACATTATTCATCGTCAAACTGGTGTGGGATTAAGCTCCTAAGTTTTCATCAGTCACATTTCACCATGTAAAACGTCTGTTTTATCCCCTTGTATGAGTTTGTAATGGTTTGACTCTCTTTATAAAGTGCTTCCTGGCTCCCCCCGTCTCCAAACTTTGAGGCCCGGCAGCTCTCTGTTTACAAGCCTAGTAGAGACAAACTGTTTTGATTGGTTGTTTCGGAAATGTGGTGTATTTGAGGAAATGGGAAAAATGGGTTACATGGTGCAGTCACGCACTTCCTGGTCACAAAACGTTGTAAATACACATACTATGGCAAAAATTATTCATCATTAAATGTGGTTTTAACATAACTTTTATAAAGTTTGAAGTCCGTGCTGTCCAATCAAGCTCATTGTTTTTTTACAGAAGCCCTGTGAAAGCATCACAGCTTTGCCGATCTCAGAGTGTTAAAAGAAAAGAAATTCCTGTATCCGCATCGTGATCCAGAACATCACCAAAATTTAAAAGTGTGTTCCCTGGCCTAGTACTCACATGTGGTAAAAATGTCATGACAATCCGTCCACAAGTTTTTGGGTAATGTTGTCTACAGACAGAACGACAGACAGACATACGCAACCAAAAACATTACCTCGCCCTTGGCGGAGGTAATAAAAGGAGTAGTTGCTAGTTCAAGTCGTTGTACATGATATGATGTCAGTGATGTCCTATGAAAAAATTAATTAAAACAGTTTCTCAATCAAGACACATTCAAATCAACTTTGTATGTTTGGGAAAGACCCGACACCTGTGAGTGTCCTCAAGATGTCTGCAGATGTCACAGATTCTGGTGAGCGAGAACCTGACAGGCTGCCCTGTAAGCTGATCAGGTACCAGTCCTAAAGCTCAACAAAGACTGCCTAATTGTCCAGCTGGTCTGAAAAAGGCACTCTTTTCTCCTGTTGAAGTTTAAAGTAAAGTCAAGTGTGGTTGGAGCTGATGCAACTTTCCTTGCTTGCAGTAATGACAAGTCCAAGGTAAATAAATAAAATTACTAATCTAACAATCTGCTCAAATCTTAAGACTTCTCTCTCTCCAAATTCTAAAGTGAATTGTTTATGAAATCGTTAACTCTGTGTAAAGTCACTGTGTATAAACAATCCTGTCCAACAGAATATTTGTTTGATACTTAAAATTAAAATCACATTTAATCTTTATTCAGCTTAGATTGACAACATCTGATAAAGTATTTCTCTTGCCTCCCATCTAAACTGTTTTCTTAGCCCTTATTATTTTGTCTTGTATATTATTTTGTTTCTTCTTTTATCCATTATTTTGTAAAATTAAGATTTTTCTGTTTTTGAAATAAATTACCATAAAGACAAAATTAGTTTTCTTCTTATATGAGTACTCATTGCTATGAGGAGACTTCCCTTAGTCTTACGAACTCACACTTTGGTTTATGAGTTCAGATTGAAAAAGGGTGAACAAAACTTAACAGCACAATGGTTTCCCAACAGGTAAAACAGTTTCTGGTAGGGAAGTCCTGATACAGATTTTTAGGCTCCTGATACAATCCGATTTTTTTAATGATTAGTCTTTCCGATGCGATCCGAAAACTTTATTTCCTTATTTCTTTCCAAGTGACAAGATTGGTGGTATTAAAGCGAGCTCTGCTGTTCCCACCACCAGAAACATCCAGTTTGCAGATTTTGCAAGATGCAGTTTCAACATCATTGTTTTCCATTGAAAAGTGTTCCCACACTGTGGACATGGTTGCATTCTTGTGTGCGTCTTGACTTCTTAATGGCAGTTGTAAAGCATGATGATGCTGAAAACTGTTGCGAAAACTGGATCAGCCCGATCATATGACTAAATCTGATTCTCCCAGATTTTCAAAAAATGGCCATATCCAATACCGATACTGAGTATCTGATCGGGACATCCCTAGTTTGTGGCAGGCTGCAGAAACCGTTTCATCCTTTCTGTCCTGTATCCATTCTACACCACAATATGTAATACTCCGCCCTTGTGTTTCCCTACAATCTAGATGTGGGCTTTGAGCAGTTTCGTGTAGCAGAAAAGGCTCATGGGAACTGGATGAAGCTCTACCTTGAAGGAAACACCTCTGAGGTGCTGACCAACATGGGCAAAAAAGTCCTGAAGCAGTATCTTGAGGCGCTAGCTGCCATGAGCTCTGCTTTGAGCAAACAGCTGGGAAAGTACGATATGTACTCGATGATCGCAGGCATGATCTTTGTATTTCAGGTGAGTTCTGAGGAGTTTTTTACAACTATTATAGTACTGTGTCTGATAATGTGTCCAAAATAAAAAAAAGACGTGTGAACACAAAACTAAGTTGGTAGTTAGTTATGTTCCCAGTAATCTTAGCAGTTAAAAGTAATACGGAGAAGAAGAAAAAAATTAATAAATTGATGGAATGGCAAAATTTCTTCAGCAACATAATTGATAAATTGTAAACATTTTACCCATGCATACCTGAATTATAACTTTACTGAATATCTAATCACATTCGACATAAAACAATGTATTGTTTGTCCTTCAGTCATGTTTATACTGTAGTTATGGCAAGAGTAGGTAAACTTTCTTTCAGTTCTGAAATTTTACATATCAGATCAAATAAAAAAAAATAAAAATGGTCTTTATCAGTTTTCAAAATGACATACAACCTAAGATAAACAAGAGGGGACACATAAAATTATCATTATTTATTTAACAAAATTTTGAACAAAATGCTGAAAAATGTAAGATACTAAATTCATCCATGCTGCTTTTATAAGAGTCAGAGGGTAAGTAAAAGTTTAATGTTGCTGTTCAGATGAATTTATATTTGATCCTCTAAAAATGTGAGTGTTTCTAAAAAGCTGAAGGTCAGTCAGTTTGCTGCTCTAGAGTCCATCTTTCTACACAGAAAAGTGCCAGTCTTCCCAGGAATCTCAGCAAGTTCACCTCAAGTTCAGGCAGTTCAGTATTCAAAGAACTGAAAAACAAAAAACTCCACAAAACCAAGGATTTTATCTTTAAGTTGACTTGCAGCATGCAGTTTCAAAAATTGAACATTGTGTCAGCACCATACTGTAAAATATTGATAGTAACCAGCATCAGTAGATTTATTAGATGCTAGGTTGAATAGTCTATGGGCTAGGGTGGGAAACCATCCACCCACCCCCCAACTGCTGAATTTCTCTGGTATTTTCATGTACCCAAAGGTCCACGTTTTAAGAAAATACACGTTAACAGAAAAAAAAAACGTTGTCTCACTGCCCACCAGGAACATTTTTTTGACCACACTCCTTTTTCATTGTGACCATCAAAGTTAGGGGCACAAAAAACTTAAATGCAAATATCTTTGCTATAAACCAACCAAATTTCATGATGATGATGATGATGCCTTTATTGTCATTGTACAGAGCACAATGAAATTACATTTACGAACACACATTCAAGAAGACACACATGACAAAACATGCTGGAACAGGTGAGCAGGTCATGCAGCAACCAGCAGGGGTCGCTCTACCTTTAACAGCTGGAAATACACAATAGGAAAGTTGAGTTAAATATAAATTGCTCTGATCCTATGTTTACATCAGAAACATGCACAAAAATCGACTCGCGATAGGGCAAGACAGGCTGGGGCAGGGAGGGAGCTTAGGTCAGATAACACATGAGATGGGGCGGGGATCAGTGGAGTCAGTGACGTTGAGGGTAGGTCTCTGTGCTAGGACCCGAGCCTAGACCCCGCCAGAGTCCAGAGTCCCATGATGTTATCGTCTCTTGCTCGGCTCACCAGAGTTCAGCCTTCGGTTCACTGCCAGGTCCAACATGGGTGATGCAGGTTGGAGGGAATCAAGCCCTTGTTGGCATATCATCCTTGGGAAGTTTCAGATAAACATGGCAGTCGAGGCCATGCCACTGGGAGCCAACAGATAAACACAGTTGGTACAAAACAGCCTTGAATTTCCTGCTGCTTTTTAGTGTCTTTACTGCATCACTGAAAGTGGCAAAAAAATTTCAATCAGCCGAATTTGGGGTCCTCCCTGCCTCTCACCATCTGGAGCTTCACCCAGATGTGATCCTACATGCCAGAGGCTCGCTCCTGGGCTGCAATCCTCGTCAGAATCACATCCAGTTTGTGATTTATCTCCCCCAGCAACTGAGTCCGTGTGCTCCCAGCCCGGCAGAAACCTTCCAGTATACCCAAAAGCTTCTCAACGGCCCAGACCGCTGTTAGAGTCGCTTTCACTTTTCGACATATCAGGAATTCACCTCCGCCGATCAGCAGGAATCCAGTTATCATAAATCCAAATATATACAATTCTTCCATGTCTTCAATGGAAAGTGGTCTGAGAAACATCAGGTTCCAGCTCCCCCAAGAACCACTGATACATCTCGCTGAAACCGTTCCACTCGGACATCTTTGTTCCCCTCGTTTGGAAAAAATAAAAATAGAAAAAAAAAAACAAGTTAAAAGCAGATTTGTATTAATTAGCTGTTTGATTTACATGACATTTTGTTAAACAAATATGAACACAATGATGTTATCAGGGGATAAAAATGACAACTCAAAGGATGAAAATTTTTATAATTTTAGTCAATAAGCTAGAGATGCTTTTGTTGATTTATGCAATAGATCATTTTAAAAGTAACACAGAAGACCATTGGTGAACATTCGGAAACAAGTTGAAATTGCAAGGCTTTCACTGAATTATTCTTTGAATAGCTTGAACTTTAATTCTTCTTTCGAACTAGTTGAAGTAAAATTTGAGAAATATTGTATCCATTTAATACAGCTTTATGTCCAATAGTATACCATACGGAGCACAAGTAAACGTCTCACACACAGAAGAGTGAAACATCTTTGTCCCATGCTTTCTGGTGATCTTCATGCCTTTCATACTCCCTTTGCCCTTAAAGAAAACAGTTCCAACTTAATTACACCTCTTTTTTTAAAGATATTTGCTTCTAATAAGTTACCAATAGATGTGATATGAAACAAGTAAAGAATTCTAAAATGATTTGTGACTTCACATAGATTAGTGTCAGAACATTGATCTGTAAAACGTTTGTGTGTAGAGAAAGCAAGTTTAAAAAAATCTGTTCAATACATTGGAAGTCAAAATAAGTTTGCAGAAAACCAGTTAATCTCTTCTAAAAGGCTCTATTCAAAAATCGGACTTTGTTAAGGCCCACAGTCAGTCAGCAGCAACTCTGTGAGATGCCTTGGTTCTTATCAGAACAGCAAATCAATAACAGCCCCTCTCAGGGGCCCAGTGGCTGTTCACAGACACTCGTCTAAGAGGGAATATTACAATATAATGTGGATTCAACCAAGTAAAGTAACGTGTACATCTGACTGTTGGTTACACCCCTGGAGACAGTACCTTCTTTGTCAGGCCTTAGAACATAACCAACTTTGTTCATATTACAGACTCGAGACACACTGACTCTGGTTAAACCACATGGCTGCAATGATCACAAAGTATAAAATACAAGACTGCATATTAAATTCAGTTTATCATTCACAAGCACTGCTGGCTGTTGACTCATTTTAAATTAGTCGTCAACTAATTATTATTTTGGGTGCCACGGCGGCACAATTTTTAGAGTTGTTGCCTCACAGTAAGATGGTCACAGCTCACCTCCTAAAGTTTGCATCTTCTCTACGTGCTGTCTTTATTGCAGCTAAATGGCTAGCTGTCAGAGACTGGTCTCACTTCAGACTCACTCTAGAAGTCCTCTAGATGTCCCTCAAAAATTTTGAGCAATATCTGATGTGGCATTTCAAAAATAATGGCATTCAAAATATTGACATTGTTACTTCATGTGCCCCTAAGTTGCTGTCGTTATTGCAGCTAAACAGGTAGTTGTCAGAGACTGCTCTCACTTCAGACTGAACCGACAAGTTCTCCCGATGTTCCTTAACAATTTTGAGCAACTTCTGATGTAGCATTTCAAAATAAAACGTCCTGTGACCCAGAAAGGAGAAAGTGGGTAAAAGAAAAATGGTGGATGGACAAGCCTGGTTTTAAAAATACTGTCTAAAGGTTTTATTATTCTTCACAAAGACATGTAGGTCTTGATTGCTCACATGAAATCACATCATATTAGTAGTTGGGTCTACAGTGTGTCACAGGATGTTTTGCATTTAAACTTTCAAAGCAAATGTGGACAAATGGGTACCAGACTACTTATGAAGGTGGTTGGATTGAATCTGTCCTCAATGTTTTTTGACAGAATTGATACCGGCAAAGATGAAATATGATCAGATCAACCAAAATAGACAGAGGTTAGATTGGGGCCTTTAAACTACAGGCATCACTTAGCATGTTAAATGTTAAAGTTTACAATAGAATTGAACAAGAGTACTTACTATTTACTGCAACTATAGAAAAATTAACTTTTTTTACAACCTTTTTTTCTCTTCTTTTGTGCCTTTCAGCTCTTGTTGGTCTTACTGTTGGCCATGCCTGAAGCACTGAGCGGTTCTGCAGCAGTGGACCTTCCAGTTCTCTCGTCTTTGTTGTCCCTTCCTTTCTACCTTTTGTGCCTGCTCCTTGCTTCAGTGCACGTGTTGGTGTGTACATCTGCAGAGAGCTCCTGTTATTTCTGCAGCCTTTCCTGGGGCCTGGTGTTTGCTGCTGTTGCCTTCTCCTCAGCAATGTTTTGCATCCTGGTCTCATTTTTGGCACAGCGACTCCCCCTCGCTATAAAGATTCATGGGAAGGTGAGTAAAATCTTACTCTGCCACCTAGACGGTGTGTAAAATGCATGCATGCATACTTGTCCGACACAGACTCTTGACAATCTAGCTTTCTTGAAGACATTGCTTGTATGAAAAAACAGAGAAAGCCCAACTTAATTTGGACGTGTGCTTAGAAAGACATAAAAAATTGTCATTTTGTTTGAGAGCTTAAGGTTTGATTCTGATAGTGGTAACAATAAAACTAGTGCAAATCTGCTTTTATTCACTTCAAAAGTGTTTTCCAGTAAATTAAATCATCATCAAGGTGGATACGACGTGACATTTGACAGACTGGACCATTATCTACCCAAACAAATATGAGCACATGTGACCAAAGCTTCAAAAGTATGATTTGATATAGGGCTGGGCGGTATGACCTCAAATTCATATCACGGTATAAACTGAATCCCGTCACGGTAACGGTATATGTCACGGTAGAAAACTATGATAAAAAGTAAAGATAATGTAATTTTTAGAGCTTTTTTTTGCAGAAAATTGTAATCTTAATCAAACCCAGCGTTTTTGCTTTAATATTTGCCTGCCAAACAATGAGCTTCTGCCTGCTGAACTTAGCTGCTGTGCTCTCATCTTCATCGCTGCGCGGCTGCGCGCTCATCTTCATCATCAGAGCAGAAGCCGACTTTACATTAGCAAGATGGATTTATGACTGAACGAACGTCCACGTCTTTTTTATAATCAACTCTGTGGGTAACAATACTTAAAAAAACAAGTTTTTCTTCAACAATTGTGTGTGAAAAACTGCGGATGTTAAAGGAGACCAATTAGGGGTCCTAGAAATGTTTATGGTATGTCTGTGGGCTATCCAGACCATGTTCATTCAATTTAATGCACAAAATAATTCTCAGATAATAAAATTTCCCATTTTCTAGTTCTGCCTGCTCTGACTTCTGTTCAGAAGAGCTGTTTATGTTAATGAGCTCTGTTGGTAACGCCCTCCAAAAATCTGTTGACATTAACTCCGCCCTCCAAAGCCAGCGTTTACGTTAGCATGGCTAATAATAGCAGAAGCTCCGTTGTACAACCATATGAGACCCAGAGGCAGAGTCGTGGTCCCAGCTTCTTTTTTTTTCTTCCCCCTCCTCTGCTCTGCGCTCACTCTGCATGCTGTTACCAGAGCAGGGAGCAGCAGCGGTCAAAATACCTCAGAAACTCGAACAAATAGGTTTTAACAAGGCTTTAATAAGCTAAACAATAGAGGTACATGAGAAAATAAATAAATAATTAAATTGTGTCCGTGCCGGTCTCAAACCCAGGTCTCCCACTCTCTGGTCCAACACTCTACCCATTGCCCTATTGGAGGCTTGTTGTGAAATGAGCTGCGCATTGCGCAACAACACCGTGATGGCTATTTATACTGAGGAGGTGGAGTCTCACTCGGGTAAGGTGCTGAATGCAGGTTCCGGTGGGTTGTTGTGTGGCTTGTGACATCACAAAATGACAGAAGTATAGAACTTGTCGTTAAAATACATTAAAAATACATTTACTTACAGTAAATATGCCCCTGGGTGCATTTTTTGGTCCAAGGACTGTTTTTTTAAGAAGTACATACCCAAAGTTGAGTAAAAAAACCTTTAAAAAGTGAATTTTGCATAATAGGTCCCCTTTAAAGCTTTACTCTGTGCGACCTGCAGCGAGACGAGAGGAGAGGAGAGGAGACGAGATGGAGGGAAGAAATGATCCCGCAACACGACATAACTTGGAGGAGGAAATTTTGAGGATTATTATTCTGTCTATACGTGTTTTAAAACGCTAGAATTTCTTCATTATATTTCAAACTCCTCCTGCTCAGTTGTCTCTGCACTCACAGCCCTGTTCACACAGGTGCGATGATGTAATGACGATAGGACGGTAGAGGGTAAATTTCTACCGTAGGCCAACTTCATACCGTTTCTACCGTCTACCGCATATACCACGCAGCCCTAATTTGATAGAGGAACAAATTTTCTGGGAGGCAAATACCTGTCTTTATCCATTACATTTTACATAACATTTACAATGTACAGTATTTAGAAAGCGTGAATACTTCATCATTGTGTTTTTAGAAGAAACTCAGTCTACTAATGAAGTTGAAATAGTTTGTTGTGTTATTTATTTGTGTGTGTGTGTGTGTGTGTGTGTGTGTGTGTGTGTGTGTGTGTGTGTGTGTGTGTGTGTGTG